GTAATAGTATGTGTACACAATTAAAAAAAATAAAATCAAGTCATTCTAATTCTAAAATGGGAATATATATATATATATATATATATTTTATCTACAAGACTTGTATGTAAGAACTTTTTTAAAAGGATCGAATCTAATGTCACTTAAATCAATAGATTGTAGATACTTAAGTGTTACTTATTCTAAATGATTATTTTAACCTTTTTTATATTTAATTCAATACCATTTCATTCGGTCCCTATTTTCAACCAACGGATACAAAGAAATAAAATTCTTTAGGATAGAAAAGAAAAAAAGAAAAAGGTAATAAAATTTTAACGATCCAATAATTCATATTCTGTATTAAATTTTAATGATTCAACTGTTAAATTTAAAGTTCTTAATGCATAGATCAAATATGCAAATTTTTAAAGAATTTAAAAATTATTTGATATTTCGTTTCATTAATTAAAATTGATCAATAATTATAAAATTATTTTATACGTTGATTTAAATTAATAAAATAAAATATTAAATAGTCTACAAATTTTTATAAAATTTATAGACTTGATCTATACATTAAGAACTTTAAATTCAACGATTTGATCATTAAAATTTGATGTAGAACATGAATTATTGAACGTAATAATTCTATAAAGACTTACTCCTAGAACAAACAAATTCTTCCTCATATATATAAATTTATCTACTAAGAGCTCTTGTTTACTTTTAGATATAAAAACTATAAATATGAATCATACAATTATACATAAATAGTTAAGGTATGTGTGTACGCTTGCCAATAAGAGCTCTTGTTTACTGTTAGATACAAAGAACTACAAATCTGAATCATACAACTATACATAGATGGTTATAATGTGTGTGCGCCTTCTAATTCAGCATAAAATATCCAAAAGAATTAGCTTATCAATGAAAATTTTGATCATTAAAATTTGATGTAGAACATGAGTTATTGAACGTAATAATTCTATAAAGACTTACTCCTAGAACAAACAAATTCTTCCTCATATATATAAATTTATCTACTAAGAGCTCTTGTTTACTTTTAGATATAACTACTATAAATATGAATCATACAACTATACATAAATAGTTAAGGTATGTGTGTACGCTTGCCAATAAGAGCTCTTGTTTACTGTTAGATACAAAGAACTAAAAATCTGAATCATACAACTATACATAGATGGTTATAATGTGTGTGCGCCTTCTAATTCAGCATAAAATATCCAAAAGAATTAGCTTATCAATGAAAATTACATGGTACAGAAGAAGACCTAAACCTGCTTGCAAACCAGTGCCAACAGACAAATTTCCATACTTTAGTTTGAAAATTTTCAAAAGTTGGTAGGAATTAAATTGTTGTGCTCCCTACAGGCATAAGCTTAAAAGTTAATTTCCCTTCTCTCAGCAAAAAACTTTCCTATGAATGTTTGGTCAGAGAGAAGGGCAAGCCAGACTCCAGTATCAGCCCCTTCCTCAACAGTATTATTCCCTGCATAACCTGTAAGAGCTGTCTTCACCCAACCTGGACAATAGCAGTTAATATAAATCTTCTGATCCTCTGGTCTCTCAGAAAGCTTCCTTGCCATAAGCCTTGTATAAGCATTAACTGCAAGTTTGGACACTGAGTAGTCACTATATACTTGAGGCCACCCACCTGTAGTCCAAGTTCCATCCTCAACTTGTTGTAGAAATGTAGATAGAGTCTTGTCAATAAGCTCTTCTGAAAGGGATTCTACATCACTCAGTTTCTCCCTCAAGGCTACATTGCTGATTCTCTGTCAAATCGAACAAAACATTATCGAATTAACAAATTTATGTTTAGCAGAAGTCACATAGCAGCAATTCAAAGTATTTTTCATTTTATTCACGGAAGGATATAGGTCTGTCTGACTACAGGAATTTTGAACCAAAATATGCAATTCAAAGTATTCTAGCAGAAGTCACACTACAGCTACTGTAACCAACAACTTAACAAGAATTAAGCAGTTTATGCCAGAAGGCAATCATGAATTATAACATCAGAAGGAAAATATTGTGCATTATATAAGGTTTGTTTGGGTAAATTTCTTCAAAAACACTTATAGCAGAGAAAAATAGGAAAGAAAAATGAAAAAAATTTCTTTGTAAGTTAAAATTAACTTATGCATAAGTTAATTTATAAAAGTTCTCTCTTATTAGCTTTTTCAATATCTTAAATTTAACTTATGCATAAGCTAGTTTTAGATTATGAAGAAGTTTATTTCAATTTTCTTTCTATTTTTTTTATGTATAAGTGCTTTTAGAGAAATTTGTTCAAACAAACTCATATTTCAGAACACAAACATTGTTTTTTTTTTTTTGTGTGAAAAACATGTTTAGTTTTAACCCAAACAAGAAGACAGTAATATGTATTTCACAATAACAAAGCTGGGAGAAGCCCAAGCAAGAAAGTGAAAGAACCATGAGAGTAATAACAAGGGAAAGAACCAAACATCAAAACTTTTTAAACATTGTTTAGCAAACAGTATAAAGAGATTTCACTTACATTCCGTCTTCCATTTAGTCGACCAAGACGTGAGCTTACATTTACAATACGAGCACCAACACGGGATGGCTTCATCAATGGAATAATGGCATCAGTCATGCTCTTGATGCCATAATAATTTGTTTCAATAACCTTACGAGCATTTTCGACTGAGTTATCAGACCCAAGATTAAAATTAACACCAGCATTGTTTACCTGCAGGTAAATGATATTGTTCAGAAGCATATATGGTGTTTAACCACGTTCTGCGTACTTCCTTGTAAAATTTAACTATCTCATTGTGTATAATTCCATGTTTAGCATATTTAGATCCACAATGAACAAGATCTAGAACAAGTTTATTTTGAGAACATAACAGAAAAGATAAGCCAGAAGTAATAAAAAAGAATACAACAAATAGATAGATCCCAGCAGCACATGCAAATTTCCTTAAAATCAGACCTAACAATATGGTGAAAGCACATTCTAGAAACTAACCAGAATATCCAAGCCACCATAATTTTCCTGCAGCCACTCAACAAACTGGTTGATAGATGAATCGTTTACAATGTCAAGTTGATGATAAACCACATTGAGACCGCCTTCTTGCAAAGCCTTAACTGATTCAACACCAACACTGGCGTCTCTTGATGTCAGTATAACAGTCAATCCATGAGCAGCAAGTTGTCTACAAATCTCAAATCCAATTCCTCTATTTCCACCAGTAACCACAGCAACAGTTTCCTTAGACCACCACCTAAGAATACTCAAGTCAACAACAATTCGAACAAGCTATGAAGATCAAGTATATTCCGCAATTCTAAAAATTGTGGATGGTTAAAAGGTTGAGACAACAACCGTCGTCAAAACCCATGCTGAGAGTGACGTGTTTGCCAAGTGGAAACTAACAAACAAAATTGAAGGCCAGGGTCAGTGCAAAGATCATCTTTCACATATTTGCATGCACCAAAACATTGAAACAAAGATAGAAATTAAAAAAAAAAAAAAAAACTTTTGTATTCAAAACAAGTGAAATATTCCAAGTGATGTTAGGCCTGCCCCTTATATAGTGGATCCTTATCATGTTACAGTTATATCACCCAATAATAAAGAGTATATGCATGTTTGAATTTCAGTTGAGATAACTCAAAAGTATTTTTACACCCAAATCAACAATTTCTCCCCTCTTCATTTTGTGCATTGGAATTCACAAAAGTACACTTCAAAATTTTACCTAAACATAGGCTATGTTGTTATTCATGGTTCCACCTAAGATTAAGGTATCTCATTTAAGAAATTAAGCAGTGTAAGTGAAAATCCGAATAAATACGAGAAAAGGGGTTGCAAAATTGAACCTCTGGTGATGAGAATAGGGAATGGTCATGAGAAGGCGTATTTCTTGCAATCGCTTTTCTCTTCGCTCCTTAGCTTTTTCTTTGTTCCCCATCTCTCTCGGCTTCGGCAACTATGCACCAACTCTGTCCAATTCCGGCTTCACCAGGTGCTGGAGCATGAATCAAGAGAATAGTCACGCTACTTTCGTTTGCATTAATTACATTTTACTTCTTCGATTAGGATAAATTAATTCCATCTAATTATTTTTATCATTCAATGTTTATTTTTATTTTTAAATTTTTAAAAATCGTTAAATACCATCGTTTCATCTAAATAGAAAATAATGACGTTAATAAAAACATTTTTCATAAGTTTAATTATTATATAATTTATATATTCAAAAGATTTATTCATTACAAATTTTATTATATAAAAGAAAAATTTATCTTGTACGTTAAACATGATAAAATACTAGTTGTTATAAAAGTTTAAACAATTAATTTAAGGCTTTGTTATTTAATTTGTAAGAAAAAAGTAATTTTATTGTGTAACCCAAATGTATTAGGGGTTACTTATTTTATAACAATTTTTTATACTAGTTATATTAAAAATATTTCTAATTTAATAACTTTATTTAAATAATATACAAATGGTGACCCTAGGGTGGGGAATAGTGTTGGAGTTTTCAATTTTAGCTTTATACGATAGTTTTGACTCAAAAGAGTGTGTTAAGTTTTATTTGTTGGATATCAATGTTATTATTGTGAATAATTCAAGTTAGCGATAATTAATCTTTGTTAAAGAATTTGAATAATCACTTTTAGTTGGATTTTTCCTTTTAACCATTTTTTTGAATTTTTAAGACTCGAATTTAAAATCAAATTTAAAAGATTCAAACTCAAGTAAGATTTAAGAATAATTCTAATCAAACTGATGATTTATGACATGTTTATTTTATCATCTTGTTTCATTAAAACACACATTCTAAAATATCAAACTAAAAAGTAACTTTTTTTTTTTATCTTTTCGATTTTCTATTTTTCCAACGGGAAACCAAACACACATGTTAGTGTAATACATAATTTAGTGTTTTGTTTTGCATTCCCAATTGGCATGGGATCTACTTACTTAAAAAGTAAATATTGATAGACTTACTTCTCTCAATAAGTTATGTTCTACATTAAATTTCAACGATCCAATCATTAAATTAAAAGTTCTTAATACAAATCAAGTCTACAAAATTTTTAAAAAATTAAAAATTATTTAATACTTTATTTCATTAATTCATAATGACTAATAATCATAAAATATTTTATACATTGATTTGAATTTATATAACGTAGTATTATATGATTTTCAATTTTTTAAAAATAATTGTAGACTTGATTCATACATAAAGAACTTTTAATTCAACAGTTACATCATAGAAATTTGATGTAGAATATGAGTTATTGAATGAAGTAAGTTTATCAAGACTTACTTTTGGTGTAAATAGATTCATTTTCTTCCCAATTATATGGACCTACTTACTCCATGAGTAATTATTGGTAAAGTTATTCCACACAATAAATTATGATCTAAATTGAATTTCAATGATCCAATTATTGAGTTAAGAGTTCTTAATGAATAGATAAGTCTAATTTTTTTTACAAAATTTGGAAACTATTTTATATTGACAAAAACATATTATATGTTAATTTGAATCTATATAAAAAGTGTATATAGTTTTCAAATTTCATACAAATTTGTAGATTTGATCCATTTATTAAGAACTTTTAATTCAACAATTGAATCATTGAAATTCAATGCAAATCAAGAGTTACTAACTGGAGTAATTCTATCAAGAGTTACTCTTGGAGTAAGTAAACCCACACACATGCGTGCACACACAATGATTTTTAAAAAAGGTTTTAAGGAGTCGCCATCAAAAAGGAAAAGGTTTTCAAAAGATCAATAATGGCCTTGACAGCCAAAATTGGATTCGGGGGTCGGTTATATGTAAGGAAGGTGTTAGGCACCCTACAACGCCTTAATTTGGTATCCTATGACGATTTTAGCATAATAATAAACAATAACTTAAATGTTTACCCCTTTTATTAATTATTTACATATTAAATGTCTACATAATGAACAATATTTCTATGGCAATAATATCATAAATAAAACAACTAAATAAATAAAGAAAGAGAAAGAATTGATGAATAATACCTCTACAACAAGCTTTTATAGAATAAATCTCCAAATCTTTGTACAAAGGCGTGTTTTGACAACCTTTCACTCTATAAATACCTCATAAACACTCAAGAAAGATTAAAGAAAGAAGAAAGAGTTTCTGCTTGGACTAAGTCAACTGAGCAGTGTGCATGTGTGAGAAAGCGTGGGTCGAACAAGCATTTATAGGCACCCGAAGGCGTGGAACGACCATTCTGGAGACTGTCCCAAATTAGGGTTTTAGGCCAAATTTAGAGTTGGGAACAGGTCGTTCTAATTTGAGAATAAGTCATTCCAATTAGGATCCTCCATCACTAATGATAGCTCTAGGAGTGCCAAACATGGGAAAGATAATTTTTTTGACCATTTTAATGACAGTTTTAGAATCACATGTTTGAGAAGGAATTGCCTCCACCCATTTGGATACGTAATCCATTGCTACAAGAATATATTTATATCCTTGTGAGGAAGGAAAAAGGACCTATATAGTCAACGCCCCATAAATCAAAGATTTCAATTTCAAGGATCCCATTTAGAGGCATCTCATGTTTCTTGGAAATGTTACCCGTCCTTTGGCAATGATCAAAGGTTTGCACAAATTTTCATGTGTCTTTGAAGAGGTTGGGCCAATAAAATCCTACCTGTAGAATTTTTGCAACAGTCTTTGATGTACCATCATGTCCACCATAAGTAGAAGAGTGACAAGAATGAATTATCTGGAGGGCTTCTTTTTGTAAGACACAACGTCTGTATACCCCATCCTGCATCTTTTATATAGAAAAGGCTCATCCCATATGAAAGAGTTCAAATCCTTGAAGAAATTTTTCTTTTGTTGATAAGTAAAATCTTCTAGGAGAACGTTGCATGCTAAGTAATTTACAAAATTAGCATACCAAGGAGAATCCTTTACCAATACTGCCAAAAGTTGCTCATTTGAAAAAGAATCATTGATAGGTGAATCATCCTATTTCCCATCCGATGGAAGACGAGAGAGATGATTTGCCACAACATTGTCTACCCTTTTTTTGTCAACAATTTCCAAGTCACATTCTTGTAACAACGCAACCCATCTAAGAAGTCTGGGCTTGACATCTTTCCTACATTACTTGGATCTAGTATACCTTCAGTCTCTATATATCGAAGTTCTCCTTGCACTTTCAAAGGGGGGCTTGCATGCATGAGAATGAGTCTCGTGGGCTTGTTGTAATGGAAATTTGTAGATCCCCCTCCCCTTGTACATGCGATTATGAGATTCATAAATATTTTTATTTTCGGTTACATAACGGTCATTTTCTGCACTAGTTTTGGACTTCACTCTAGCTCTTCATGCATATAAATAGAGACCTCTGTCTCACTATTTAACACACCTCAAAACTTGAATTCTCTCTGTCTCTCTCTAGTAGAGGTGTCAAATGGATTAAGTTGATTGGACCCAATCTAACCTACACAGGCCAAATGCTATTTTAGGCTAGGCTAACTTGACCTTTATTTTTTTAAGCTTCCATTTCTTGGCCCAACTAGACCCATGTCAGGCCATTGGACCAAATTGGTCTAATTAAAAAATACATTAAAAAAAATGAATACATATTTTTACAATGGAAAAGAAAAACAATAATTATAACATGATTAATTAAATACTATATATTGTAATGAAACACCTAGTTATTTTTGTGCAGTCATGAATAATGCAAGTTACACAAGTAATGCAAGTTACATGAATTAGGAAAACTTACATGAAGAATGGATGATGAGAAAGTTTTTGGCATTGGATGTGCATCAGAGTGAGATTGGGTGTCTCTTGATGTAGTAGTTGGTAGAGATGAACTTGATATATTTGCTTGCTTAACATATTCACCAAAAATATTATACAAACCCTCTTTCACCTTATTCACTTTTTCTCCATAATCATATGGATAAAACTTCCTATAACAAAATCTTATGAAATTCAACTTTGCCTTAGGGTCAAGAACACATGCAAATGCAAGATTGACACAATATTCACTCCAATACTTATCAAAATACTTATCAAATTTGGCCTTCCTTCTTGTTGCCATATCTATGATAACCTCGTCTTCACAAGACAAATTTTTATTTAATCCCATCTCTATAATTGCAACTTGCATTAAATATAAGTTGAAGGTGGGATAAGATGACCCAAATATCAAGTTAGTAATATTATAATCTGGGGCCAAGAATTCACATATATTCTCAGCTCTTTCTTATTCTTTGTTGGTTGGGAAAAACTAGTAACTTTTATCACAATATCTCAAATTAGTGAATGATTGATGATATTTAATAGCACTTTCAAGCATCATATATGTAACATTTCATCTAGTTGAGACTCTCATAGTGGCTAACCCTAACTCTAAACTTGTAAGCACAAGCAAATACAAAAATGAAAGACTATTACTATTGTAAAATTGTTATATTTCATTCTATTATTTTATAACACATTATAGATTGATATTAATTTAGATTATTTTAATTATTAGTTTAACGGGTCAATCCATAAGCTTATAGGACAACCTGACCTAATACCATTTGGCTTGTCAGGTTTAGTGGGGTAGACCAAAATGGTCTGCTTCTATTTAGGCCACCTTTTTTAAGGTTTAGCCTGGCCTAGCCAGCCCATTGGGTCGGGTCCAAATTGACAACACTACTCTCTGGGTTTTCTGCTTACTTAAATATCTTGTCGGTTCTTATCTTTGTTGAGATGTTATATCTTTGGGGGACTTGTGTGTATACCGTGAATAAGTCTTTAAGGTTGGTGTCATCACACGCCTCAAGAAAAATATTGCTAACGGTTTATTTAGTGTTTCATGTTCTTCAAATTTTGTGTTTGCCATTTATAACATTTTTCCTCATGAATCTAGAAAATATTTAGATGGAGAGAACAAGTGAGATGAAGAACGTGATAGAAGCATTAAATCAATTACCTTAGAAGACAAGAACATGATCCAAGTCAATCAGTGTAGAAAAGAAAGAAATGAAAGGAGAAAACAGAACA